GACGAATGGGATCCTGAAGGTCTTTCCTCAAATGGCTGGCAACTTTGCCCGTGCTCACAAGCTGTGATGTTAGCAGGGCTATTTTTGGTCAGGAACGCACAGGAACGGAGTTCTGCCTGGCTCCCAAGTTGGCCACGCCCAGCAGGAACTCATTAGCATAATAGGCCACACCCAACAGCAGGAACTCATTAGGATTGGCTACATTAGGGTTGTGTGGCCTAACATGCAAAGGAGTTCCTGCTACAAAAAAAGCCCTGGGTCTTGACAACAAACAAGGTAAACAGAATAAGAAGCAAAAGGTGGGTGTGGCTGGATGACCACACTTCTGGTAACATGAGGGTGCAACCTAATACGCTAATGAGCTGTGCTGTCAGGGGTGTGGCCTAATATGCTAATAGGTTTCTGCTGTTGGGTGTGGCCTATTATGCTAATGAGTTCCTGCTGGGCTTTTTCTACAAAAAAGCCCTGGATGTTAGCATAGGGCTGCCAACCTCCAGGTGGCACCCGAAGATCTCCTGCTATCACAATTGATCTCCAGATGATCAAGATCAGTTCCCTTGGCGAAAACGGCTGCTTTGGAATGTGGACTGTATGGCATTGAGCCCTGCTGAGTTTGTACTTGGATGGGAGACCAACAAGGAAGTCCAGGGTCATGACACAGAGACCGTCTATGGCAAACCACCTCTGAAAGTCTCTTGCCTTGATAACCCTATGCAGAGTCACCATAAATTGGCTGTGACATGACGGCAAAATAAATAAACAAATTAGAATCAACATTCCAAGAATTAGAGAGGGTCGGATCCAGTGTTCCCTCTAAGCTGAGTTAGTGTGAGCTAGCTCACAGTTCTTTAGCCTCCAGCTCACACATTTTTCTCTTAGCTCAGGGAGGAGGGCTCCAGAGCAAACTGATTTATGCCGCAGCCAAATCTCTCGCTCACAACTTTAATGCCGGTAGCTCACAAAGTAGAATTTTTGCTCACAAGACTCCATAGCTTAGAGGGAGCATTGGCTCGGATCTCCATTCCCCCTTTTTATAGCCAGTGCCGCAGGAATATAACCCATTCTTCAAGGGCTCTTGGACTCCAGAGATGAGCCACTGGCCCTTTGCACCTTCTGCTGGTGTGCATCACCCTCAGGGGAAAAAAATCTCCTCCATGGAAGGTTTTATGGGCTTACCAGGCTGGGGTTAGGAAAGAGGGTTTTCAACCTCCAGGAGGAGCCTGGAGATCTCCTGGAATTACAACTGATCTCCAGACTGCAGAGACCATTTCCTGGAGGAAATGGATGCTTTGGTGGGTGGACTCTATGACATTATATCCTATTGAAGTCTCTCCCCTCCTCAAACCCCATCTGCCCCAGGCTCCAACCCCCCAATCTCCAGGAAGTTCCCAACCCAGAGCTGGCAACCCTAATTGCAGGGAATTATTTGAGTGCCGAGGTACTTCCCTGGAGCAAACTGATGCTTTGATAATCTATGACGCTATACCCCACTGAGACTCCTTCTCAAACCCAACCCTTCCCTGCCTTCACCCCCCCAAAACTCCACAAATTACCCAACCCGGAACTGGCAACCCTCTGGGTTTGTTCCACTATTATTCCAAAAAGGAGGTATGCCTTCCCTGGCAGGCTTGGGCAAGCAGAGAACCCTTCCTCATGAGATGTTTCTTTCTCGTTCTTTCATGATCGCTGGGACATACGTACAACTTGGCAGGGCTCTTTTTGTAGAAAAAGCCCAGCAGGAACTCGTTAGCATAATAGGCCACACCCAACAGCAAAACTCATTAGCACATTAGGCCACACCCCCATGTTACCAGAAGTGTGGTCATCCAGCCACACCCACCTTTCCCTTCTTATTCTGTTTACCTTGTTTGTCGTCAACACCCAGGGCTTTTTTGTAGCAGGAACTCCTTTGCATGTTAGGCTACACACCCCTAATGTAGCCAATCCTAATGAGTTTCTGCTGTTGGGTGTGGCCTATTATGCTAATGAGTTCCTGCTGGGCATGGCCAACTCAGGAGCCAGCCGGAACTCCGTTCCTGTGCGTTCCTGCCCAAAAATTGCCCTGCATACAAGAATCGAGAAAACCCTCCCCACGGGGACATGCACAGAGCTGTTGGTGTTGTATTTTATGGCTGTAGTCCACTTTTCCTCACGAATGAATGTCTGTATTAAGAAGGAACTAATAAGAGCAAAAGCAATACACGTTTCCTGCAACATAGAATCATGGAATCACAGAGTTGGAAGGGGCCAGACAGGCCATCTAGTCCACCCCCCTGCTCAGTGCAGGACCAGCCTAGAGCATCCCGGACAAGTGTTTGTTCAGACACTGTTTAAAGACTGCCAGTGAGGGGGAGCTCACCACCTCCCTTGGCAGCTCATTCCACTGCTGAACTACTCTTTCTGTAAAAAAGGTTTTCCTAAGATCCAGCCGGTCCCTTCCCCCCCCTTAATTTAAACCCATTACTGTGAGTCCTCTCCTCTGCTGCCAACAGGAACAGTTCCCTGCCCTCTTCTAAGTGGCAGCCCTTCAAATACTTCAAGAGAGCCATCCTGTCCCCCCTCAACCTCCTCTTCTCCAGACGGAACATTCCCAAATCCCTCCGCCTTTCCTCCTAGGGCTTGGTCTCCAGCCCTATGGTCTCCAGCATCATCCTCATCATTCTCCTCTGCATCTGCTCCATTCTGTCCACATCCTTTTAAAGTGAGGCCTCCAGAACTGCACATAATACTCCAGGTGCAGCCTGACCAATGCAGTGTACGGCAGGACTATCACATCTTGCGATTTGGATGTTATGCCTCTGTTGATACACCCCAAGCCTACATTAGTCTTTTTTTGTCGCTGCATCACACTGGCTGCTCATATTTAACTTACGACCCACCCGTACCCCGAAGATCTTGTTCACACACACTGCTACCCCGAAGTGTATCCCCTATCCAGTATGCGTGTTCCTCATTTTTGTTACCCAGATTTAGGAATGAAAAGGATCCTCCCTTGGCCGTGGTTCTATTTCCCACAGAAATAGGTCATAATGATGAAATGTGTGAGAGCCGCTTAGCCCTCGTTGGTGAAAATAATCCAATAGTTACATTCTTTTAATCGCTAGAATTGTCGTGGAATCAACTTTTCCACGATCCGCTATTGCGGGGGCTCCCAGCATGGTGCCCCTGGATGCCATGGCAGCTGCCACCATCATTCCTGGTGCCCACCAAGTGTTTTCAGAAATGGGTGGGGTCAGGTGGGGCTTTTCCCAGCAAGGCTCCTGATTGGTCACTGGAGATTTGGTTGGCAGCTGCCACCACGGCACAAGGATCTCCACTGTGTGGCCGAAGGTACGCCGTGGCAGCCATGTTGTGCCTGCCTCCACATGCTGTGCAGCAGACATTCTGTGGCTGTGCCCACCACGTTATGTCAGAACTCCAGTGGTGTTCAAAAAGTTGGGGACCCCTGAGTTATACAAGCTGGTTATACAAGCATCGAATTGTCCCTACCAGACTATTAGGTTGCTGGAATTATACATTTCTCTGAGGATGTTTCACGAGATTTTAATTCATAATTACCTTGTACCCACTGGCTTTGTCTTTCACAGGTTTCCTATTCCTCGGTGGCGCACCTCTCTCCTTCTGACCACTTTCCCCCCCCTAACAGTACAGCTTATCTTTAAAAAAAACAAAATCTCCCCGTTGCTAAGCATCAACAATTAGAACGGAACATTTGCACACACCTACAAAGAAATATAGTTATATATACCTGAAGTCTCCCCCGGTAGCTTAGGCGGGGGAACGTCGACATCTTTTCCATTACCATTGGGCGTGGCAGGCGGTTCCATTGTGCTAACCCGAGTACCGGGGTTGTTCTTGTGCGTGCCGGTCCCAGGCCCGGGTCCTCTGGGTGGTACCGTCGTGGAAGCCGCCGTGGTGGTGGTGGTGACAATGGTGGTGGTGGTGATGGTTGGTGTACTCCTTTTGGTGCTGGTGTGCGGGAGCGTATCCGTTTCTAAGAACTCCAAAGGACTCGTCGACCCCCACACAATCACCCCATTCTCCACTGTGGGGTTGATGATTCCCTGGATGTTCCTTTTCCTCCGTTTCAAATAAGCCTGATACTCTGCCAAGGAAGGGTTCGATTCCACAGAGTGCTTGGGCCGCCCGCTTTTCCAGAGGAGGTCCACCGCTTTGTGCAGCCTTTTGGAATGATACATTGGCATTTGTCCGTTAGACTGTTCCAAATAGGGGAACGCCCGGCTCCCCAGAAGCCCACGACTCCTCGCTTGCTGCCCGCCTTTAAGGTGCCACAAAGAGCTATGGGGAAATCCATACCAGCTAGCAGGTCTTTGCAAGAGCCGAAGCCTATGGCCTGGGCTCAGGGATTCGCAGGAGGTGAAATCCATGGCAAGTCGAAACATGGCTATTAAAATCCAAGCATGGCTTCGTACAGGGCAACCTGACCTGCAGATGGACACAGAACTGTGTTAGAAAAACCAAAGCAGCAAACAGTCGGTGAAGCAAACAAGACCCCCCCCCCCATTAAGTGCAGTAATAGATCTTGATACTAAGAAGAAGAAGAGAAGAAGGGATTGGATTTCTATCCTGCCCTTCACTCGGAGTCCCAGAGCAGTTTACAATCTCCTTTCCCTTCCCCTCCCCACAACGGACACCCTGTAAGGTAGGTGGGGCTGAGAGAGCTCTTTTGAGGACTGCCTTTGAGAGAACAGGTCTGAGAGACCTGTGACTGACCCGAGGTCGCACCGGCAGCTGCATGTGGAAGAGTGGGGAACCAAACCCAGTTCTCCCAGATTAGAGTCCACGCTGTTAACCACTACACCAAACAGGTTTCCTTTCTCAGCTTCGTGGTTCCAGACCATTTCTAAAGCTCTTTGTCACCCACTGCAAATCTCCTTTCTCTTAAGTTGGAACTTCTTTGTTGGGATCAGCTAGGACTCAACAGAAAACCTCCTCGGTTGTGCATGGGTGACCTCTGGCAGTGAGGCTCCAAAGGCTGCAGAGGGAAGGCAAAGGGGCAACATCATCCTCCCAGGTCCCAGCCAATGCTCCCATCGGGAAGCCTAACGTTGCCAGCCTAGGGTAGCCATGCTTACAGGGCACACACTACAATTGGCATAGTGCGTGTGTGTGGGGGGGGTAACCATCTGTGCATAATGAACAATAAACAAAAGTAGTCAAAATGCATACAATATGCAAAGTGAATTCACAAAATCTGAGGTTAACTTTTAGTGTGAATGTGGAGTTCTGTAAAGGTTTG